CATCTTTACATGCTTGGGGTAGACACCCCCCTAACTCACCCATAGGTCTGAGGCCTGTCAGTTACCCTCAACCTGGTTTAGCAGGTCAGCTGAGATGGCTTTACCAGGCTGTGGACGCTGCACATGCTACAGCTTTTGGGACCCACAGGTGAGAGAGAGTTAGGTGAAGGTGGACACCAAGGGTGGATAAGCAGCCCTGAAAAGGGCTCAGGTGTGGGGTATTCCCAGTGTGAAAGTCCTCTCCATCAATGTAGATCACACTCAGAGGCCATCTGGTCTAACCCTCTCATTTTATCGATCAGGAAACTGGAGCCCGGAGAGTCTGAGCTGCCCGAGGTTACACAAGCGGTTAACAGTGGAATTGGATTTCAAACTCAGGCCCCTGGGCTTCCGGTTCAGAGAGTTCCAAGTCAAGCCCTCTTTTGTTTTCAGTAAGACTGACGACCCACGTGAAGGCGTCTACACTCTCACAGAGCTGTCTGAGGCACTAGGGGGCTAGGTGACTTCACTGTGGTCGTGCAGCTAGCGCGGGTCAGAGGCAGGGCTTGCTTGTCCTCCCTCAAAAGCTGGCACTCACAGAATCACTGGGTCTCATGGAATCCCTGCCTTCCCTCAAGATGCAGCTCAAGCATCACCTAGTCCGTGAAACCTTTTCTGAGCTCAGATCCTAGCGCCCTCCTCCCAAATTGCCTTACGTTTAATGATTTTACGTCTCTTTGTATTTATTCTCTACAACCTTTCATGTATTTTTTGTCTCATTAGAAGGTAGGCTTCTTGCAGGGGTGGGGAACCTTCAGCCTTGAGGCCACACTTGAGGACCTAGAGGACCTCCTGTGGCCTCAAGGGGGTTTGAATTCAGTCAAAGGGTCACACTTGAGGATCTAGAGGACCACCTGTGGCCTCAAGGCTACAGGTTCCCCACCCTTGTGTGATTAGGGACTGTGTCATTAACAGTATTCGCATCCCCATCAGTGCCTGGTACTCAGTAGGTGCTTAATAAATGCTTATTGATTCATTAATTAGGCCACCTTGCCTTTCTATGTGCTTTGCACAGAGTAGGAACTTACTATGTGGCTATTTAATGAATACATTAATGGATCATAGCTATGTTGTTGTTCAGTGATTGTTCAGTCATTTTTTTAGTCGTTGTTCAGTTGTTTTTCAGTTGTGTCCGACTCTTTAGGACCCCAGTTGGTGTTTTCTTGGCAGAGATATTGGAGTGCTTTGCCATTCCTCCTTCAGCTCATTTTACAGATGAAGAAACTGAGGCAAACAGAGTGAAGTGACTTGCTTAGGGTCACAGAGCTAAGAAGTGTCTGAGGCCAGATTTGAACTCAGGAAGAGGAGTCTTCTTGACTCCAGGCCCGCCACTCTAACCACTGCACCACCTAGCTGCTTTTGTTTAATAATTAGTTAACTAACTAACAATAGGTTAATACTGATTATATCCATTATTTATAGATCTTCATTTATATATTTTCACCAGTTATTACTTTAGTCATTATTTTATCCTATTGTTATAATTATTAATGACAACTGGAATTTAGACAATGGTTTACAGTTTATTGCAAGGTCATTATGTAATAAAAAGAGCAGACAAACGTTGTATGAACTGGACAGAAATCTATCCAGGATGAAAGGAGGACTTCAAGATTAGAAAACAGTGTGCAGTCTCAGTGAGTGTTTTTTTTTTTAACAGGGTTTGTCTAGGGCACAGTTCATAGGGAACACCTTCCTCACTCTCCAGTGACTTCCTGTCCTTGGGCCCTTGCATAGATTCATGACTTCTCTATAATAATCCTTTGTATAAACAGCTCAACTTGCTGCCGGCACATAGATACAAAGTTGAGAGGCGGCACCAGACCCTGCTATCAGATGAATGAATAGCCCAGACCTCTCTGAATAGGGGCCTTGTAGTTGTTAGAGAGATGGGGATGGTTTTTGCAAAGTCAGGCAGAAGCAGGAGGGAAAAATATATGAGGTCAAGAGGACAGGCCTCCGACCTGAAAGCGGGTGAGAACAGAGAGGGCTCACTCTTGACTACCACGAGAAAGCAGGCCACCTCCTGATGGAACTGATGGCACATAGTACCATTTGGAAAAGGCATTAAAATGGGTGACTGAAGCTGCCCCTTTAGGCTTGCTTCACAGCTGCCCATACTTCAGGATGGACTCCTTTGTACATCTCTTTATGGGGAAAGGGAGTCTTTTGTAAGTGAGGGTTTAGGGCTATGATAGGACCACTATTTTTTCCCTGTGATGGCCGCAGCTCCCCTAACACAGCTTCCACACCACTAACACCCCCCCCCTCCCCCAAGGTCCTTGGAACCAAGCTTCACTAATGATTCCCCTGACACAGTTTCCTCCCTACCTCTCCTCCCCTGTGAAACCTGATTGGTCCTAGATTCCCTGACACAGCTTCCTGGTCTAGGTGTCTAGGGGTCTGCTCTAGGGGCATAAAAGGTCCCAGACCAGGTATAGTCTAATCCTTTCAGACTTGGAGGGTGCCTGATACCATATGAATCGCCATGCCCTGATGACTTTTTTTTTGGAGGGGGGGAGGCAATGGAGTGAAGTGACTTGCCCAGGGTCACACAGCTAGTAAGTGTCAAGTGTCTGAGGTCAGATGTGAACTCAAGTCTTCCTGAATCCAGGGCCAGTGCCTTATCCACTGCACCATCTAGCTGCCACCCCCCTCCCCCGATGACTTATTGATCAGACTTTTCTAGATGGAGATGAGGGGGGCTGGTCCCAGAGAAGCTAAGTACCACTGTATCCTTGCTATGTTAGGGAAAAGAAAACCTCTCCTCTTGTTAAATGTTCAGTGACCCATGAGTGCCTCATTTCATCCCAAAGTTGAACCTGAACCAAGAGGGTGCTGGTGTTGGAGCCGGGCCTATGACATTTGGTGCAGGATGGGATGAAATGAAATGTTGTGGCTCACATTGTGAAGAGCCCTGCAAATTCTGATGGTGGGACCCTGCCTGGCTCCCTGTCACTGGGGTCCTCCTGATTGTGTGGGTGGCAGACTCCTGCTCCGGCAGACAGATTAGCAGCGTGGATGCTGGAGGAGGCTGCCTGGGAGGGTAAAGAAGGTAGGAAGCCCAGTATTCCTCGGTTCTCCTTTTACTCGGTTAACCTTAACTGTGGGCTGCCAGAGTAGTCAGACTGGAAGGGATGTGGGAGAATAGCCACCCAGACCAAGGCTGGAATTTATCAAAAGGCACTTTGGGTACTCAACCCTTTCTCTCTTCCCATACACACTACATATCATGGTGGAAAGAGTGCCTAGGATTATTCCTAGAGTGGGAATAACTGCTTATACTAAGTCTATTATAGCTAGCATTTATATAAGCCTTTAAGTTTTACAAAGCACCTTTACAAATATTATCTCATTTCATCCTCATAACAACCCTGGGAGGTAGGTGCTATTATTATATTCATTTTGTAGATGAAGAAACTGAGGCCGAGAGAGCTCAAGTGATTCCCCCAGAGTCACAAAGCTAGAAGTGTCAGAGGCTGGATTTGAACTCAGGTCTTCCCATCTCTATGGCCAGACTTCTATCCACTACACCACCTAACTGAGGTCCCAAAGAGCCATCCCTACTCTGAGGGAACAGGGTGCCTGTTAGCAAAGTCTTCTGGAGAGTATTTTTATCCCAGCCTGCTTACATACGACGGGCTAAATGTCCCACAGTTAGGATGCTGCCCTTACTCTGCTAATGAGAAGGGGAAACCAGGGACCCAGAGGGTCATCCTTTCATAGCACTATAGTAGACCCAGAAGGGACTTTAGAAATTGCTTAGGCCAGCGCTTAAATTTTTTATGACTGTGGAAACCGAGGCCTCGAAAGGTCTAATAATAATAAAAGCTAGTTTCAGAGGATGTTTTAGAGACCATCAGCCCAACTGTCTCATTTTGAGGGTGAAGACACTGAGACTCAGGGAGAGGAAATGATTCAGACGACAGACTTTAAGAATTAGAAAAAGGGACTTTTCATTTCACAAAGATGGAAACTGAGGCCCAGGGAAGAAAGTGACTGATCTAAGGTCATATAGGGACAGAACCAAGACCAGTACTTGGGCATGACTCCAATGCCGTGTACTTTTTCCATTATATACACAAGGCTGCTAAGTAACACAGTGGAAAGTAAACTGTCAAAACTGAATTCATTACCATGGAAAGGGCACTAGATTTGAGATCAAGAAGACTATCCTTCACATCCGGATTCTGCCATTTATATCTTGCAAATGACCATGGATAAGTAATTTACCATCCTTGGATCTATTTCTCCGTCTGTAAATGAGTTTGATTAGATTATCTTTGACAAATATACAAGCTCTATCTAATTTTATGAACATATGACCTCCGAGAAGAGGCTAAAGGTGATAAATAGGTTCAATACAGAGGTCACTGTTAGGGTCAGCTAACTGGATTTGATGTCAGGAAGACCTAGGTTCAAATCCTACCTCCAACCCTCCCTCACTCTGTGACCCTGAACAAATAAATCACTTAACTTTTAACAGCCTCAGTTTCCTCATTTGTCAATGGGTGTGGGGGTTATAATAGCGTATACCTCATGGAGTTGTTGTGAGGATCAAATGAGATAAATTATGTGCAATAGTTTGGAAATCTTGAAGTGCTATTAAATTATTATTTCACTGCCTTTATAGATGAGACAATTGTCAAGGACTGTTCAAGGAATCTGAGAAGTCTAGGGGATGGCCCTGGCTTTTTAGGGTCAAGGGACATAGGTCACCACTCTGGCAGCCCCCTTGTACCCCGACCACCTGTGACAGAACTTTCATGTGGAAGTGGGAGCCTATTACAAGAAGCCAAAGACAACAGACTTTCTTGTCAGGTGGGTAATGAACCTCTTTTAATGCCCCGATTTCCTGTTGCCACGCATGGCTTTGACCTGTGATATTCCGCCATACCCCTCCCCAGGCAAGGATGAGCGGGAGCCGGGGAAGATGGCCGTAGGGGTGGTTGGTTCCAAGTTCAGAGTGAGGCCTGTGCTGACAGGCTCTTTTTCACCTTTAAGCCCTTTCTTTTGTGAAGTCCTGTCCAGACAACAGCACCTTCAGGGACGTCGTTCAATGCCACGTTGTCTGTGCCCAGAATCCCTGGCTCTTCATCAATCTCAATGGGAGAGATGGGTATCTCTTCTGGATCCAGGTTGGCGTCGCTCCAGCCCTCGGAGCTATCGCTGAGGCAGCATGGGGTGGCGCCTTCTTCGTCAGCCGGGACGATGGTCTCCTCTGAGTGCCCACTGGAATTGCTTTCTGGCAAGTTGGCCCCCTCCTCAATTGGCCCCATCATCTCCACAGTGGGCTGAACATTAATATCTTCATCTGGCTTCTGCTCTGACAATGGGGATGGCTCTTCAGCCCTCACCCTAATGCTAGGGGAAAGAGGTAACTGGATGATGGTGTGGGTAGGTGGCTTAACAAAGCCCTGACCAGTCCAAAACAGGATGAGCTCCTGGCGACAGATGGCCACAGCTAGACTGGTGATGAGGGTACAAGACACTAAGTAGAGCAATGCTGGCTGACCCATCTGCATGAGAATCATGGCAAGAAAAGTAAGCAGCAGGCCAACGGCATAGGCCAAAGTACAGGCCATGTAATAGATCCTGGAGGAGCGGACCTGGATGTCAAAGCGGTGGCAGTAAGCCACCAGGAAGCCAGGCACCACGATGTCCCCAAAGCCCAAGATGGAAAACGGCCTGTCACAGAGAGTCAGTGGTGAAAAGCTGAGACGGGGCACCTTCAGCACCATGGGCAGCTTTTCATGGCTGGTAGAATCCGAGGGACCAGAGGCCACTTCCACCATAATGCTCTCGCCAGTCCTGGTGAGGAATGGGGTGATGAAGACGAAGAAAACATCCAAAGCCAGCAGGGCCAGCAGGAAGGAGGTGCAGCTACGTAGAGTGGGCAGCCTCACACGTCGGAGCACAAACAGGCAATAGGACACACCTAGCATGTCTTGTAGAAGCCAGGCCCAGCTCTCCTCATTACGAAAGATAATCCAGATTGCTGTGATGGAGGTGCACAGGCCGGCTAGCAGAATAAGGGACAGCTGAAGGGCAGCCATTTGCAGACCTGGCAGGATGAGCTGGCAACGTCCCAGGGGCAGGCGGCGAGCCAGTGGAGCCAGGCAACTGTAGAGGCCAGTGCCGGCGCCCAGCCCGAAGATGCCGATCATAATGTAGACGAAACAGTCATAGAAGAAGTACAGCAACAGCATGATGGAACAGGACATGAGGACCACCGCCCCTGTCATTGCTGGTGTGAAGTCCACAGGCTCCTCCTCCTCCTCCTCCTCTTCATCCAACCCTTCGACTTCCTCGCTCATACTGGTCCCTCCACCCCGATGCTCCCGGCGCCGCTGGAGCCTCTCAGCCTCATTCAGCCCAGCCCAGTAGCCACCCAGGGCCACAGTGCCAACGGCCAGGATGAAAATGATCATCATGTTGTAGTCAAGGATGGGCTCTAGGGGCACATACATGGCCACTCGGATGGCGGCCCCACCCCGGCCCTGATTCAAGATGTCCAACATATCATTGTAGCGGAGTATGGCCACTGGGATGGTCAACTCAGGGAGGGGCCTGAGGCTCTGGGAGGTTGCTGGAACTGGGGTGGTGTCTGAACACTGGAGGCCGGCGGAACGGCTGACGATGAGAAGCCCGTGGGCACCCTGACCTTGGGCCAGGCGACCCTTGGTGTAGAAGCTGCAGTTCCCCCACAGCACCATGGCGGTGGTTTTGCTCAGTGGTTTCTGGGAGTTAGAGCTTTGGGGGTATGACTGGTGGGTGTTCTCACCGGAGCACCAGGGTGCTTTGGTGCCATCATGCAGGGGCAGCAGAGGGGCATGGTGGAGGTCCCGGGGCAAGGTGACATACTCAGAACTGAAGAGGGCACAGTAGTCTTTGCTACCCTTCTTTTCTGATACCACGTGGACCACGCCATACTCTCTGTGGGCTGGAGTACCCACGTGGAGTAGGAGGAGGATGAAGGGGAGGAGGAGGTCCAGAGCTGCCATCCTCAGCCACCTGCTTCAGTGTCCTGCAGGCTTGAGTGGGCTTTACCCCACAACATACTTTGCCTGCCTTCAACTGCCCCATAGAGGGGGGACCCCTCCCCTCCCTGTCACAGAGCAAGGCCCCTGGAAACAAGGGCCCCGCCCACTTCATCATAAAACACTGGGACACAGAGTAGGGAAAGTAGTCAGGCATACCCTGAGCTCCTTTCTACTTATGGCTAAAAACATCCCTCAGGAGTGCCTTGTACCCTTCACTTCACAGTCTGTCCCAAATCCAGGCCCTTCTTGTCTCTCTGCCTGGTAAGACAGTCTAGTTTCACACTCTTTGTCTAATTCTTTAGGACTGCTGTGGGGCAGGTGCTGGGCTTGGTCCCAGATAGGGCTGACAGAGTATGGCATTACATAAAGAGATCAGGACAGGGGCTAGAAGTCAAGAAACCTGGTTTCTATTTCTGATTCTCCCATTAAATAAGCCCAAATGACCTCAAAAAATTCACTGCCCTGCTCTGGACTCATTAAGAGAAGGACTTTGGACTGAACGGCCTCCCAGGTTCCTTCCAGTTCTGACATTCTATGAAATAAGCATGAGTCAGGGTTGTCCATTTCATCTTCATAGTAAGACATAGCCTTATGTCTGTCACAGTACATACAGTCTCTTGGAATCAGGAAGACCTGAGTTCAAATCTTGCCTCTTGAAACCTACTAGCTGGGTGACCTCAAGACAACTCACTTCTGGGTGAGTGCAACTAGATCCCTTGAGCTGTCCTTGAACCTCAGTTTCCTCATCTGATAGCAGAGGGTTGTTGGGAGGATCAAATGAAATAGCCCTTATAGGGTTCTATAAGTGCCAGCTGTTATAATGATGATGATGTATCAATAAGTGGCCATAGTCTTCATATATTATTTTTAATTCTTGGGCATTTATGGTGGCTGGCCTACCCCACCTCTCCTCATTGTCTTTCCCTTTTTTATCTGCTACTTATCCTAGGCTGACTCCCCGAGAGTCTCCTTCACCTCTGATGGTGAAGACCAAAGAATCCACTATACCCCTGGAGCTCATGTGTATGATTTCCCAGGTCTAGTTTGAGTTTTATCTCTGAAACCCAAATCACTTTCTTTATGATTGCAATCCCCATCTCCCCTTTGTCTCTAAGGATAACCCCTAGAGATAGGGGGAAGAGGATGCCTAGGGCCATATATAGAAGAATTAAGGGGACAGAGTCCTCAGAATTTCTAGAAGAAGTGGCTTAAGGATGCCAAAGGACCAACCTTGCTTCAGAGCAGAGGTGGGCTCTTACTAGAGGGAGAGGGTTTTGTGAACATGACTTCCCCAGGGTCCTTTGAGTGTTCTGTTGCCCTACCACAAGAAACAATGGTTAGAGGGAATTGGAGCAAGTTTCAAAGAGGCAGATTTTGCCCCCCACACAAGGAATAACTTGTGTTATTCTCCATAAGGAAGTGAGTTCTCTGACACTAGAGGGGGTCAAGAGGAGGCTGGATAATTACCTACCAGGGATGGTGGAGAGGAGATTTCTATACAGGTATGGGTTGGTTATCTAAACCATCTATATCATAAGGCCATCTAGGCCTCTGATATCCCTGTGACATGAAAAATGGAAGTAGTGAGACAGGCTGGGGGGAACTGAAAGGAGTACCTCTCTGAGGGCTCAGCAATGATAAATTTCAGGAATTCTGAACCTTGTGTAATATTTCCCACTAAGAGTTGCTAGTTCCTTCCCATCTCAAATGCTCCAAATGGTGAGAGAAGTGTCAAAACAGTCTAGTTTCAATGTCTAGGTAGGAATGAAGGTGATTTGGAGCCTTAAAGAGCAGGGGAGCCCTGTGTGTTGAATAATAAATATTTGTTGAATACTGAATAGTGAGTGCTGAACATTGCCCCCAACAAGCCTTGCCCTATCAGTGGTATTATTATATTCACTGCACCAGACTGATTACATCCTGTGGTTGTCTGATTTCATGTCTCTCTCTCTCCCTCCCTCCCTCCCACTCTCCTCTCTCTCTTTCTCTCTCTTTTTCTCCTCCCTCCTCTCCTCTCTCTCTCCTTCTCCCCCCTCTCTTCCTTCCTCTCTCTTTTTCCCCTTCTCCCCTCCCTCTCTTTTCCTTCTGTTTTCCTCCTCAATAATATACCTGTTTATTTATCTGAATATGATTGCATTTAAATTAATTTTAATTTGATAATTAAAAAAATCTTTGTAAAGCCCTCCAGCTCATTGTGGATAAAAATACCCCAAGGTGTTTGTTGTCAAAGGAAAACACTGAAACCATAGAACCCACAAAAGACTTGGCACATGTCTAGTGTTCAGGGAGGGGTGGAGAGCCAATCTGCTTTCTTGAGTCCCTTCTCCCCACCAGGCCAAATATCTAGGAGAGAGCTTTGTTTCTTGAGGAATTAATCATCCTCCTCACCCCAATCACCCCATCACACACACAAGGGTTAAGGGTACAACATAGATAGGGGCAGCCACCTGGGTCCCGAAAACATTCTATAGAACTGAGGAACAGCCATGGGGAGAGGGAGGAGAAAAAGTTTGTGATTATCTTTGACATCACAATAACCCCCATTGGAGGAAGGAAGTAAACTGAGGATCTAAAAGGAGAGAATAGGGCCTCTCATAACAATAGCTCACATTTAAATATAATGTTTTACAGTAGAATATTGCTTCTCAGGAGTAGGGATGGTTTTATTGTGTCTCTTTATCTTCAGCACCTAGCACAGTGCCTGCCACATACTTAATCAAGGCTTGTTGAGTTGAATTATAATTTACAGAGAATTTTTTTTTTACAAATATCTCATTTGAGTAAAAAATCCTGTGAGATTGCACAAGTACCATTGTAGCCAGGTGTCTGTAGGGTTGTTTGTTTAAGGTGGAAAAATTCACCTGCCAGTGCACTATGAGAAGGGAGGAGTGCTCCCTCCCTCCTTTGGCCCCCACCCTTGGAATGTGGGTGTTCTTGTCCAGTTACTCCCCTTCCCCTCCCACTAGGCAGGATCTACTTTCTCCAGACAGGGACTCTTATGCCCCTAAAGAGAGAGTTCTCTTTGCATGCAGAAGAGGGAAAACAATGAAGAAAGCAGCATGACTCATTAGTGCCAAGCCATACTCTCCTCCTCCCCTAGCCAATTTACTCTGTCTCCCTGCCTCCTCACTCTCCTCTCAATCTTGTGTCTTGGTGCATTCCTCCCTCTTTCAATGCTGTTCTTCCACTGCTCTCTATTTGAAGCTACATCTCACAGAAACTCATGCAGCTAAGCATTAGACACTTTGTTCTTCTTGAAGAAATTGGTCTTCAGATGCTTCTTCTTCACGTTTTTTTTTGTGAGGCATTCGGGGTTAAGTGCCCAGGGTTACACAGCTAGTAAGTGTCAAGTGTGTGAAGCCAGATTTGAACTCAGGTCCTCCTGACTCCAAGGCACCACCTATCTGCCCCCTTCAGATGCTTCGTGACACTATTATCCTCATTTTGGCAGCTGGAGAAAGTGAGACCCAGTTTGAGTGAAGGGACCTAGAGATATTACCTACTCTAGCCCTTTCTTTTTATAGGTAAGGACACTGTGGTCCAAAGAGAGGAAAGTATCTGGAGAAAAGTAATATGACTAGTCCTGACAGAATCAAGACTTGGACACAATTCTTTTGACTAAGGGTCCAGTGCTTTCTCCTCTGGGTGACACTGTTGCCTCCCATAGTGGTCAGATTAAGAGAGTAATGCCATGGTTGTTGTAGGGGGAGGCTCTAAGGCCATTTGCACCAGAGCTGACTTACCTACCCCATGGGAAGGCTAGGAATTTTGGAATCCTATGCAATTTTAAAGAGTTATTTTCCTCCAAAATCTCCATTCCTGACCAAACTTTGCCCTGCACCCAAGTAAATGTACTGACTCACCCTAAAACATATCAGAATGCCTCTACCTACCCCTTACCAAGAGGACTTTGCTTGGAGGTAGTGGAGAACATCCTGTCCAGTTCCAGTTGCCTCCTTTCTTGCTATGTCAGAGATCTAGCTTTGTTGTACCTCTTCCTCCCCAAATCCTCCTTCAAACCAGGAGAGCTCCCTTAAGAGGGATAAAAAGAAGAGAGGGTTGGAGTCAAGATGGCAGAGTAGCAAAGAGTGTAGTTAGCTCCTGTCTACAAACTCCTCCAAACAGATCTAGAAAAAGGCATCAAAATGAATCCAGATCCTGGGGATGGGGTTGGGTCAGGAGCACACCCAGTAGGTGTACCTTAGTGCCCAAGGAGAGGCTGCATAGTAGACCCAGACTCATAAGAGAGCACCACTAGACCTATAAGGGGGAACTGTAATGGGAACAGGTACAAACTAGCAACTTTGCTGCCCACTACCTAGTTCTGAGTCACAGATCCGGGGTGGAAGATTAAGAAAGAGACCTATGCTGAAGAGTGGTGTTTCTGAGTAGGGTTCCTCAGGGAAGTGAATTGAGAAAGGAGAAAGTTCAGAAGTCAGCAGCAGTAGTGGTATAGCTCAGATCCCAAACCAGAGTAGGGTCTCACTTTCAGCATCTAGCTCAGCCTTCAGAGGAATAACCAATACAGGAATCCCAGACCAAAAGGAAGCCACTCTAAACCAAAAGAAGTTTCCAGCTGGCTGATGGGAGTAGAGGCCAGCAACAATTTATTCTTGCATTCACCCAAACCCAGGTCAAAAACTTGCAAAGCTCACACCAGGGGTGCAGCAGATAGATTTTGCCCTGGATCAAACCTCTTTGACAGTGCTGACAGCTTTCAGGTTTTCCAGATGTCCCTGAGGTCCTTGAATAACACAACACTCAATATCCTAAGAAAGCAGTAAAAAGACCAGCCCAGATCTTCCCTCTGGAAGTGCTGCAGAGCCCAGCTCTAATATCAAGTCTGAAGTCAGGAAATAGGCTGGAAGAACAGGCAAATGAAAAAAGAACCCCACCATAATTAGCTATTATGGTGACAAGGACATTCAAGATACAAGTACAAAAGGAGAGAATGACTCTAA